AGCTCAACACATTTTTATGTAAATAGTTGGGTTTTTTTATTTATTATATTATTTGGAAAACCATTAAGGAATTTTTCTGTCCTTTGTGATAGCCTTTCAAAAGCTCCTTTTATCTGAAACTAATAAAATTTTCCATTTTTCTTCTTTCCTGTGGTTTAAAAAATAATTGTATTGTCTTCGTATTATTGTTAGTTTTCATCTGTCCCTAATTTAGTATTAGACCACTAAGAATGATACTATCTAGATTCAAAGATAAGTTTCCTTCCAGAAAATTATCTGTTACTTTGCATGGAAACTCTTTTAAATATTACTACACACTGCCTTTATTTTTTTTTATATAGGAGCTCAACATGGCAGTTTGTGAGTTGTTTTCTTAAAGGCAAAGTTTTGTAGTGTCCCCTACTTCCTCATGTGAAACATTAACATATACAATGTGATGGGTAGAAATTCCACTATATGTTGTGGTAGAAGTGCTTTTAATCAGGTCTGAAAATGCTGTAAGAGAAACTACTTCACATTACCTAATTTGTATCATCAGATTCAAATAACAACATTGTCAAGTGTGTCCAGTTGTATAATCAATTCTGCTAGAGTAAGATTCTGCAATTCTGCAGAAACATTGCATTTTGAAGAAAAAACATATATGAGTACAAATAATATGCTGGGAATACACTGTATTGCTTACAATTATTTTTCATTTTAAAGACTGGAAAGGAGAATAAGAACAGCTTTCTCAGGAGAAATGTATGAAAAGTAGACAGGTATCACCAGCATAAAGTGCCTTGACATTCAGTAGCAATGACATTAGTCAGTAAATATACATAAACTCAAACCAGGCAAATATACAATGCCACTGGCAAATTTCCCAATGTCAAGGAGAAACTCAACAAAATAACAGAAGGATGTATGTCAATAATATGATGCTTCCGTGTATTACGGAAGAAAGGGTCAAGGTACAGGTGCATCCTGGTTGGAAAAGAGACATAATATGATGTGGTGAAAGGAAGGGTCAGTTATGCCATATGATGTCCTTTATGGAATATTTCCACTACACTGATGATTTTTTCTGTTTGGGATTAGTTTCTGTAGCCTATGAAACACTAGAAATGGCATGCTTGATAAGCAGTAATGTAAGGGAATACAGTTGGTGTCCTGAGTCCCTTGCTTTCTTTTATCCTGTCACCCAAATTCTGGAGTTCACTTGCATGAGAAAACCTGCTTCAGATTTTTTTCTTCTAGTTGAACAGAAGGAACCCTTTCCATCCCCTCTGGACTAATGCTGCAAACAGTCAGCAGTCAGGGGAGCTAAACTTATTCATACCAAGAACAAATTAACTAAGGAAATCTAGTTGGTTTATGTGTCAGATTCAGGCTTTTTGTATTCCAGCTGAGGTTTCAGTTAGAAGGAAGGACTTTTACTGACATTGGCTTTAGTTAAGCAAGGACACCCACCTTGCTGAAAGAGGAGCTCGGCATGGCAAAGGATCAGACCTCAGCAGTAAGCTCTTCCAGAAGCTTCTTCTCTCTGTTAAACAAAGTTCAATATGAAAAAAAGGTTACTTTTCACATATTTTTTTCTTCAGAAAACATGAAACACCTTTTGAAGTATACGAGAGAAGAACCTAAACAGAAACTTAGTAATATCACTGTGATCAATATGCAGACTGTTAAATATAGATGAGCTAAATGCATTTTTGCATTTAATTAAACTGTATGCAGTATTTATGCAACAGGAGGATTAAGTTTCACTCATGACTTGTAGCAACTTGTGCAGTTCTGGGCTTCCACATACAACAGAGGCATGGACATACTAGACAGAGTCCAACAAAGGTACACAAAGATGATTAGGGGACTGGCGCATCTCTTCTATGAGGAAAGGCCGAAGGAGCACTGACTGTTTAGCAGACTAATCATGGGAGAATCTCATCAGTGTGTGTAAATAGGTGATGGGAGGTTGCCAAGAGGATGTAACCAGCCTCTTCTCAGTGGTGCCCAATGACAGGACAAGATGCAATGGGCATAAACTTAAACACAGGGACCTGTCTTAAGAACAGGAAACACTTTTTTACATTGAGAGTGACTGAGCATTGGCACAGGCTGCCCAGAGAGGCTGTGAAGTCTTCATCGTTGGAAATATTCAAAAGTTGTCTAGACATGGTCCTGGGCAAACAGCTTTAGATGGTCCTGTTTAAGCAGAGAGTTGGACCTCCAGAGGTCCCTGCCAGCCTCAGTCAGTTTGTGATTTTGATTCTATGCCTGTGCTCTGGCTCTAAAGACAAAATGTAATTCTCACAAAAAGTGAAGACCTCTCATTCTGCTGTGGCTAAGCCAAGAATTAGTAGAAATAATTTTCAGTTTGTGTACTCTAATACTGAAAGACTGCAGCAATTAATATATGAGTAAATCTAGTTGTCTTCGCTGACAAGAACTGGAAGTTGGTAACTGAGCTGTAAGTAGAATTGTGACTTAAGATGACATTCTTAATGTACGGATGCGTATGGAATTTATTCTTGGGTTCATTACCATTCAGTTAGCATGGTCAGTTGTTATGGGTACTATCTGCCAGAGATCAGACATGTGGTGCAATTTAAAATAGTAAAACCAAAGTCTGCAATTGTGGTGTAGGAAAAATTAACTTTGAAGTGATACTTTTTAACTCTCCTATGCCAATTTCAAATTCTCATCTGCAACTATTTTTTTAGCATTGATACTATCAGTCTTCACTACTTTCACTCTGCAATACCAAGAGCTCCCTGTCTCATGCAGTGACACTTATAAACCTTTTATAGCAGTGTCTTTGGGCAGGCTATTTCCACTGATTCAGGCATAGTGGGAACCAGGAGCTTTTCCAAAAGTTTACAAAATCTTTCTTTGTGACCTTCTTCCTCCCCTCAGATAAATCGATTAATCTTTCTTTGGCTCATTTTTGCAGTCTCTAGAAAAACAATTACAACATCATATTGCTGCTGTAAAGCTTCACTCATGGTCTGCCAAAGTGCTTTGATATCCTGAGATATAAGGCACTGCAGAACTGCCTGGCTTACACAAGAGCTGTGGGCTCCTGTGCCTGGGGACTGACCTACAGTGGCTCATCTTCAAACAGGAGAGAGCAGCCAGGCAGTAACAGCCCCTCTTGGTCTCTCTGGAAAGCATTACACAGGTAAAATGTTCTCTGTGAACTCTTGTCAGCTTGACTTTTTTCAAGGTGGTGATATGATTTGGATGTGTCGAAGTTGACTGGTATTCAGCCTGTGAAGAACAGAAACTTAATTGGTGGGTAGGAGTTGTGGTTTTGGGGACATTCATGACCTTTTATGATACTGCTCGTTTGTGTTATTTCAGACAAGCCAATAAAAGCTGCCTAGAATTTCTCTGCAAGACTTTGCTATAAAGGATGGTGCCCCCCGGCTTTCAAGACCAATGAATGAGAACACTAGATTTGTTAAAGAAACACCATCTATAATTGTCAGGTTGACTTAATGGCCTTCCATCTGCAGGTGGTCACACAGACATGGTGCATACCTGTACCATCCAGATTTGAGAGTCCTCGGCAGACTTTCAATTTGCTTATAATATAGAAGCAATGCAATGTTAAAGGTTTAAATGTATTTTACAGAATATTGCTAAAAATGGGCTTAATAGTCACTGCCAATTTTTTATTGTGTATGGCAGAATTCTGTGGGGCTTATTTAGATTTTTTTGAGCTTCATCTTCTGCTAATGATGGCAGATATGAATAATGTTTAGCTGTAAAGTGACTGGGACAAGAAGCCTTCAAATATCTGCCAGAAAAATGAGAAAGGATTAGTAGATGTGTATAGTTCTGACTGTGTAAACAGTTTTACAAGCACACTATAGTAAATCAGATTCAATGTGTTCCTTTGTTTTCCCAGTTTAAAAATCTTAAATGAGTAGCTGAAAAGAGAAAAGATGGGTTTTGTGCTGTAGCAACTGGAGGGCAGTGATGGGAGCCTGGAAAAAGGTCAGAGGCTGAGGCTGAATCTGTTTGTTTAAGCTGCACTGCACTCCTGCCATTTCCTGCCCCTTAGTCCTGTGTGTGATGGTCTCCCAGTGTCATGGCTTGTGAGGACAGTGACCTACATAGGATCCAGGTTTGAAGTCTGTTCCTACAGGAGGTGTGCTGTAATCTGTCTGGTGACGCAGTTATCTGGCGTGAATGTGGGCCAGTAATTATATGAGGCAGGCAAGCACGGAGTCACTGCTAAAGAAATGTTCCGTGGTCCCTTTCAGGCTGTTTACAGCCACCAAAAGCTTCCATAGTTAGATAGTGAGCTTTAAGGACAGAGGTGCTGTCATATCTTTGTAAGCATTAGGGTGGTTTTATGGTACTGCATAAGTAATAAGCACGTACAAATGGAAACTAAAAAAAAAACAAAAACATAAAGTCAGGAGCAAAAGAAAACTGGCTCAGGAGCTTCTGCAGGTTCGCTGGTATAAGTGGGAGCTATATGCCCCTAATTTAGTGGGTGTCTCTACGAAGCAATTGTTCTGTGCATATGTGGGGTGGAAAAATAAGCTTGGAAAATATTGGGGAGAGCTGCAAACCTAGGTGATTTTATCAGAGGTGTGGGTAGCCAGACACTGCACAGCTGGCAGAAGGTAATGGAGTTTGGATAAATGCTTATGCTTAAGCATTTTGCAATTGATTCTGGTTTATAATATTCAGAATTCAGTAGAATATTTCTTTCTCTGAAGTTATTTTTAACACTTTAGGAAGTGTTTCAAAGGGCAGCTAGCTTCCCTCCCTCACTCAGTTTTAATTATGTTCACAAAACAATTATTACTTTAAACTATAGCAGAAACACTTACTTTAAAAGGACTTATTTTCTCTTTCCAGGAACCCTGTACTAGCTCCCATCTTCTACAGGCTTACCAAGCAAACTGTGTAAAGAAAAGTGGCTCCTGTGACCACTGGAGAAAACAGTTGAACCAGACAAGCATTTGCTGAGAGCTTAACCTGGAGTTTGTGCCAGACTGGTTATGCAAGCTTACCGAGAGGCTTCTTGCTTCCATCAGACATCAGAATTGCTAGCTTTTGCAACTACAGGCACAGGATGCTTGGAGTATGTCAGCAGCCAGGCGTTAGACTATACCCATCAGGTAGTTACGGCTGTGGGTGCTTGCCGAGGATGCTTCGTGCAGGCAAAACTGCGTGTGGGGGAGGCAGGGTAAATGGCATTGCCTTTAGCTGAAGCTGAACTCGGGGCTGCTTTCCAGCCAGCAAGCGTGAAACTGGCATTTACCTCTGCGGCGTGCTGCCCTTGCTGCACTGACAGATCTTCACCATCAGCTAATAACGTTCTGCATTGCAGGGCTGCATACGTGCTGCTGCATTTTCTATATCATTACCTATCATTATTAAAAAAAAAAGGAAAGGAAAGCAAAAGACATGTTGAGTTGAGATCTGCAGATATGAACACCTATTTTCCTAAACAGAGTAAGAAAAGTAGTATTTCATATTGGTTTGTGGTTGACGTGAAGTCTGTGCTATTTGTGAGGGTAAAAAAACCCACTGAGGCTGGCAAACTAAGGTCTTTCATACCTTCTTGTGAAGAGAAAACGTGAAAACTTATTTCCTGGGAGACACCCAATTAAAAAAAATAGCCTTCTTTTGCACTTTTAAAGTAGGAGCCAGCAGGAGCTTCACTTGATTATCTATGGAAGGATTTGCAGGTTCTGGAAGGACCATTGTCCCCAGGTTGTGCAATGAAGGGAAAGATGGTATCCCTTGAGGACGGGTGTTATCAGGAAGAGCCTGGCCAAAGGTCTCCTCCTGCCTGTTTCTGATGGTACAAATATTTGTATCATGTATGAAGTTATTGTGAAACCCAAGCCCAGATCATGAGAGAAAACCTTATTTTTAGAAGTTCACAGGGACACCGATAAGCATCTTCTAAACTTAGGTATTCTGTGTCTCAGCATCTATGAAAAGACAGGTGAAATGAAAATGAGTGTCACATCTCCAGACATTGTGATGTTGTAGCATAGGTGTCCTAGTGCTGATGTCCTCAGACAACTATGCAGCTAGGTATGAAATTTTTGGCCTATAAAATTGTGATTATGAAGAGGAAACACAGAAGACTGAAATAAAAGAAGACTGAAATTCTGAGGGAGAACTGATGTGCTTCATCTGGAATTGAGAATTGATGCCATAAAAAAAACAATGAAACAAGCAGAGGTTGCAGCTTTCTCATCCTAGCAGTTAATATTGCAGAATTTGGGAATCCTTTGTAATTTCAAATATCAAGCTGCTGCTTCAGTCCTTATTGTGCATTTAAAGGTCTAACTTTGGACATGCAAGTTTGGAGATGCTAAAGCAATTGGAATATATCCTTTTGTGGGAAGGAAAAAGTAACTATGAGCAGGACAGTAATTTGATCTTACAAGTATAGTTTTGCAGAAAAAGGTACGTCATCTTGAGAACTTAGCTGAAAATCTAGTGATTGCATAATTGAATATTAAAGCTTTTAGTCCTTACCCTGTTGATTCACTTGGTAGCTGTGTTTTAATACTCCTAATATGAAAGAATCCCATAATAAAATAATAAAATTTAGAAATGAAGAGGACACATTGACACAGTGTCAATTGCTTCATGTTTGTTTCACAGATTTCCTGCCCTGATAAAATATTGAACAGTTTGTAAGTGAGCACAGCTTTTTAGCTTTTGTATGCTGCTGTGAATTTGTGAGGTGAGTGTAGCTGCTACCCAAGGGTGCAGTACTTGGTGGAGAGTTAGGTATGAGAAATGGGGTCAGGTTACCTGGACCCTCAATGCCCGAGTAATTCACCATATAATCTGCAGTTATTGTATCTGAAAGCCTTATAGTTGGCACACACACACAAAAAAAGTAGTCTCTTCCAGCATCTCAGCAGGTTAATTAGTTTAGCTTATTTTTCAGACTGAACATCATTTTTATAAAATACACTGTTGCATATTTCCTAAATTTGCTCAATATTCCAGAAAGTGTGGTGATGATTTGTTACAACTAATCTTATTTGCAAAAATAAATTAATGAGGTATATCAGTAAAATCTATATTTTTGATGGTTATATGTTCTATTTGCTTTTTTAGGTTAATAAATCTGCAGGCTCTTTCCTGTCATTAGTTCAAAATAGATGTGGAGATTTTCTTTCAGATATGCTCCATTTTGCTTCAAAATTATTGTTATTGATGTTGTTGGGGTTTTTTTGTTTGTTTGGTTGGTTTTTTTTTAAATGGCTTTCAGTATAGCAAAGGGAAATTATCTTATGTCCTTTGGAAGAGTGTGTTAGGTGTTTTTCAATGAGTTTCACACCAATATGTTGCGCATTGGTCTAACGGGAACATGTTGCATACTGAACCTTTGGCCCAGCTGTTAGTGGTTCCTTTGCAAGTTCCAGCATCAGGTTGGCTTCACTGTGTAATAAAACTTCTCTGTAAAACCTGTACAGATGTTGGCTGGTAGGAGCAAGCTGTCCTGGCCTGTTCAGTGCTGCAGGAGGAACAGCAGACGGGGGAGAAGCAAGCAGTACCTTCTTAATAAGATCTCAACAAGGCAAACTAAAATAACCATGTCATTTATCTGTGTCATTTCCTGTCATGTGCTGCTTAGCAGTGTGTCTTTGACCAACCTTCCAGTACTCTGTCTTCACAATACAATTTAGTCTTCTGCTCAATTTATTTGCTACCAAAAGTCAGTATTATATTACTGAAGCATATCCATGATGGAGAATTCAGATAGTAGAATATGGCCTGTACTTCATGCTCATTATGTTAGATACTTCTGTTTAAAGATGAATACTAGTAAC